ATGGATGCCCTAGAAGAATTATTCAATTTGATCGCGACATGGCAAATATGTGTTTTTGCATTATCTGGTGCATATTTTTGCTGCCTGTATTAAATTATTATGAAGAAAATGTCACAGGAACAACAGAGAGGAGAATCCAGTCACACATTTGACTCAAATGCTAACCTTTTAGCCCCACAGCCAAGGTTACCCACGATAAACTATTTCACCAAACTCTCAGCGTCTCAGTATTGAATCCTGGGGTTTGAACATGGATTACATAAGACAGACTGCTAAAATACTTAGGCCCCGTTAATCTCTAAAACTAATCTAAATTAAAGATGGCCACGGTTGCCTTTTGCAACAGTTTGGTGTATTTAATTCAAACAAGTGTTCAAATTTTTCAAAGGAGCAGCTAAAGGTTATTTTTCTAAGATAAAATAATCAAGGATACGACTTGGGGCAACGATCCGGGCTGCAGTTTGCAGAGCTCGATCAGCAGTGTGGTGTACATGACATCGATGTGAGGCGGCGAGGGCAGCTGGAAAAGTTCCCCAAAGATCACCTAAAAGAGAGAAAAAAGCCAATAAACCAGCAGATTAGACTAAAACAGCTCTGCACTGTTTCTACTTTTTGATGCCAGAAACAAATATAAATAAATAAATATACCTCGACGATATGATAGTTGAGTGGGATCTTATTTTTCCCTGGGTAGCTGAGGAGCTGGGCAGCGCTGAGCGTTAGGAATAGAACAACAAAAAATTAGTTTAAGCATTTTAGTAAAAAATTAATACTAGTCACTATTTATTCACACATTCAGGTGTAAACAAAAAACAAAAAGCCCTCATTGCTCACCATGTTTTCCTCTCTTTCCAGTGAGTTTTGATAATGCAGTGCAGGTTTTCCTCTATAACAAATCTCTCCACAGAATGGCTGCCGGGCATAACAGGTCCCTGAACAGAAAGAGATGAATATGTAAAAAGTTGCAGAAGAAGAGTTTGACAGACAGCGTTTTATTTGTAATGAACCTCTGGGGCGTCGGTGTAGTCAAACACGCGGAAGATGACCCGGGGCATGGGGTACTGGGCGTCGGGCATGTGGCCCGGTGGGGTGAAGGGGGGCAGGTTGTGTTGCAGGGCCTCGCAGAGCACGCTGTCAAAGGCGATGTAGGGACGAAGAATGTGACGCTCCTGCCAGCGGTCTTTCTTCAGCTTCTGAATCTGAGCCCAAAGGCAGTCCAGGTACTGGAGGAAGGAAGATACGATCCGTTTACTCAGACGAAAACAAACATTGCTGTATCCAAACAGCAAGCTCTAGTAAACATGAGGCCATAAGGAGACACTTTTACTGTTTTGACCATTGCACATATTTGCTGTTGTTTAACCGACTGCAAGACTCACCTCCTCTTGTGGATGGGGTTTATCTGCAGTCCACACCTGCAGCATGGGGACATGGGTCTTTACTCTCCTCCTGAAAAATGTGGATGTAGCCAAGAATAAAAACGAAACAACAGCAGCAAACGATGATTGCTTAATTAAAATCTAACCAAACCGGGGAACGTACTTGAGGTAGCCTTCGATCTGGCTGAGGAGCCGGTCCATCTCCACGTCCTTCTTCTCATAGAGCTCCTTCCCGACCCAGGGCAGACAGGACAGAACGACGTACACAAACCAGTCCGACCGAACCTGACAAAAAAGAGACCAGTTAAAGGAATGGATCATAATCCACCACAGTGTGGACTGTGACACAGCCATGGGCTAGTGAAAAAAGATCAAAATGTGCTCCATAATGATAAAGACTCACCAAAATTAAAAGAAAGAAAGAAACAGATAAATCAAATAATTACTATTTTAATGTAAGGTCTGGCTCAAATGTGAACATTACAAATTATTTAAATTGCTTTTGGGTACCATGCAGCTTGTTTCACACCATAAACCATCTGCCTACCTGTGGCACATCTTCCTCCTGAGTAACACTGACAAAGTTTTCAAACATGGCCACCATAGAGGGAGCAGCAATCACGTGGCAGTTGACCAAATCAGACAGAAAACGCACCTAAAGAAAGAGATGTCATTATGAAAAATAAATACAAAGTGGCCATGTTAATAAGTTTAAAAGCAATCTGTAGGATTATTATAAAAGCCAGCATACCAAGTAAACAGCTTCACTGTACAAGTTGTTTTTTAACGTCTCCTTCAACTGCCTGATCATGGCCTCAACGAACTCGCCCCCAAAGTTGTAGTTCCTGGCGTTAAGGAGGCCGACTAAGGTCGTATAAACGGTCAGCTTCTCGGGCAGGAGGCGGGCACTGTCAACAAATGACAACATATAATGACTGCCGCCACACAAAACACACTTGCAAAATTTATTAGAAATCAAAGGGTGAGAGGTGTGAACGTACACAGCACATAAAATGCGCAGAATTTTGCTTTTGTAGTTTGGGAGGTCTGCCTCTAAGACGCCAGCGAGGCCCTCCAGGTTGCTCTCGAGGGATGATGTGCTCTGTAAGGAAATATTTTCGCACAAGAGCAATTTGTCACTAGAAAGCAATTTAACACAAAGCAAAGAAGACTTAAAAAGAACATTCTGGCATTTACTTTAGAAGCAAAGTTTTGCACTGAACTTGTGTGGCTCATCTCTCTAGAGTGGAAAATGAAGCTACTCATCCTGAAAATAAAAATGTGTCCTTCCTGTAGAGTCTCCTTACCTTTTCCCCAACACGACATATCAGTGACTCCAGGCGGTCTTCGATCTCAATCGGCTCCGATGTTCTCCTCCTCTTATGGGCTTGACCTCCTGGAAAGGTGAAAGAGTAACACAATAATCAGAGCCAGAAGAGGCTCAACCAGCTCCTGTAGGAATTATCTGTCAGTTTCTCTTAGCTAGTGCACTCTAATCTCAATGAGTCTTTTCAAAGTAAGGATGATAAATTCTCCGCTGTGTTCATCAGTTACACCGTCATTTCACGTTCAGTGGGTTTCAGACAGCACAGGACTATGAATTAAACAATGGTCTGATAAAATAAAGCTATGTGAAGTTCAGAAAAGCACACTTACACTGTCATTTAAAGAATAAGAGCATTAACAAAACATGAATCCAGCAATTGAATTGAACATTTAAAGGGGACCAAATTATTTTTACATTATTTTTTCTTTATTTTCTGTTATTTATATAAAGGTTTATTAACACTGTTAATATATTAAAAGTAAGGATGTAGTCTCGAGTGGTTGTTTGTTATGTCTCATCAAACCAAACCAAACAGCACTGTATCAACAGCGTTCTCTTTCTGGGATTAATAAGTTATTTTCCTGGTGTCGCATGCAGACTGCCACACCTAACAGCAGTTCTATACTTGTCTTAAGTGCACGGCGTAGGTACTTCATACTAGCAAACTCCTTCAAAATCTGATGACTTAACCTGATGTGCACCTTCCTGGAAAAGAAACTACACATCACACTACACAACTCATTAAAGGGCTTCAGCCCTAAATATATGTCCGAGTTGTTTTATAGATACAAACCCTAAGGTTTGCAAGATCTGGTCACCTAATGCTGCTTGAATCTTAAACAAAACAGGCTAATAAAGCACTTAGCTGCTATGCTGTTAACCAGGGGTGTCAAACATAAGGGCCAGGGGCCACAATCGGCCCAGGAAATACTCCAGTCTGGCCTCCATGGGCAGCTTTCAAAAGTGTGAAGGAGGGCATTAATTCTGGCTTCTTGATTGTATTTTCATAACTTTTATAGGCTTTTATACAGGTAAAGAACTCCATGGCCACTGATCCTATGCCAAAGTAATTAAGCAACAGGCGAACAATTAAATGACAGATATGTTTCCGTTTACTGTACAAATGTATAATTTTTAAAAGAAAGACGTGACAAAAAAAAAAAAGACAGGGTATTTTCTGTGAATTAACAAAAACTGTTTTATAATTCAAACTGTATGTGCGGCTGTGTGTCAGCCATGACACAAAATAACTTTTGGCATCTCTGCTTTTTATTACCATCATTGCTATTATTGTGGTTGCTATGAATATTACTACTATTTCTGCATTTCCCTTCTTTTCTGTTTTAATCTTAATCTTGTAAAACATCTTGAATGACTGTAGTATTTGAAAAGTGCTATATTAAGAAACTTGCTTTGCCCATGTACATATGCAAAGTTACCATAGTCCCAGATTAAGAGAAGAGATCTGATTTAATCTTTAAACAGACCAGGTCACATTTAATTTCAGGATCTTGCACTCTGCGGGAAAATATTTGATATTTTTAGGTGATTTTCCCCGCCCATAAATCCAGATCCATAGTTAAACTTTCAATCAGATGTTAACACTAAATCTCGTGCATGTTTTGAAGTGTTTGGTTACCGCCCCCATAGTCGCTGACTACGCTGATTAACGCCAGCTAATCCTGCAGCTAGCTGCACCGGTTCATTTTGCGGCTGCATGCGACTGTTTGAGCACTTTTCTCGCTTTCAGTGCGCCACAATGTAACTGAAAACTGCGGTCATCACTGGTTTTGAACTTTTTGGATCTCGCTGATAAAACCCAAACATTAAACTAGTAAAATAACCCTCCCAACAGTGCGTAGGGGACGCATGAAAAGCTCGCTAACGCCAGCTAGCCACCGCTGGTTAGCCTAACAGTGTGAATAACACGCCGTTAACGTGCACCGACTCACCGTCGTTCTCATCGCTGTGCCGCCTCCTGGACATGTTTCACCCCGTTTCGATGTGAATGTAACAAAGCCAAAATATGTGTTGAACGAGAAACAAAACAATGAGTCCGTTAAACGAGTTTATCTATGGATCATTCAGCAGCCAGCCGCTCAGAGAAAAATAAAAGCGGTCTGATTCAAGTGAAGCACATCCGGCTAACCCGGAAAGTGCACCCGTCTTTGGTGTCCGGAGTCTTGTGCTGAGTTTTCCGGTGCACGTTTGGAGGATGTGTTTGTTTGTTTCCTTAAAATAATATGTTAGAATTTATCTTTAATTCTGGTGAGACGGGTTAGTCGCTAACTGTTTTAAAAGCTCTTTTAAAAACACAATGGCGGCAGATGATACACCCTGCTCAGAGTTTATAAACTGGGAGGTTGACTCTTCAATTTGTAATGGATTCAAACAGGAGAAGCAACTTTCTGCCCCACAAAGGAGATACTACAGCTTCTGCAGGAGAAAGGTGAGCATCAGGACACACTGACTGGAATCCCTGTTTTATGGTTCAATTGTTGGACATATATAACGATTATTGTGAAATTTCAAGATATTTAATTTTGTTTTATCGCACATTGAAGTCTGAGGCAATGTTTGAACATTAATATCTCAAAATCTAAGAAAGATAAAAGCCTTAAATTGTCACTGGCCTCTCTAAGCATCTAAATGAATCTGATCTGTAATCTGTATTTTCTAGTTAAAATCTGAAAATACATACACATTTGAGCACACTCATGAAAAAAACTTCAAATTGCAAAAGACAATTGGTGACAGTTTACAAATTTATGAACAACAATATTTTAAAAAACCGTTATGATCTGTTTTGCATTCTGTAATTTTGTATTTTTAATCAGTGGTTTCTCAGCTGTGTGCTGGGAGTGTAGCAGAAAAAAGTAGTTCTTCTACTTAAAAAACTTTATTTTCCTATTATTATCATCATCATCGTTGTTGTTGTTGTATAACTTAGAGGCTAAGGAAGGCTGATGCTGACAGATTTAAAAATTCAGATGTCAATATGTCAACTCTTATTCTTAAGTTTGTATTACAAACAGTTGTGCAGTGGTCACAGTCTTTACAGAAGGTCCTGGGGTTTAAACCTGTTGGTCTTTTTGAGTAGAGTTTTCACCCCCCCCCCCCCCCTTCCCCCTATAGGCTTCCTCCTTGTACTTTGATATGCTCCCATGTCCTGTTTTACAGTCTGTGATGGACTGACAGATGGGGTGTGCCCCACCTACCTACCTTCCAATGTCAGCTGGGATAGGCTCCATCTCGCCCAACCACCCTAAGTTGGATAATATAATAATAATACAATAGTAATATATTGTTAAGAAGGAAGGGTCATTATTTACCAACTTTTGAGTCATTTATTTTAGAAACGGATACAGTTTCTAAACTACTGTGGACACATTTCAATATTATCGCATATTGGGCAACATATGCACCAAACTGTGGCATACGATCACACAGCCACTGTCTTATAATCTTAAACATCTGTTTGACCATGTTAAAGATTTAACTCTTTAATTGTTTTTTATGTTATCCCCTCAGTCATTTGCTGCCTTTGTGGCATCCAAGAAGGACAGTAGTCACGAGGAAGGAAGCCCTTTGTGGTGCTGCTGCGGCCAGACGTTCATCGAGCACGCCGCCATTCACAAACACGTGGCCAGAGTGCACAATGCTGAAATACAGCAGCTCGCACAAGACGAGTATGAGCATTTGTTTAACCAACTGGAAGAAGAGCCCGAAGCAGCGCAGGTGAATGAGCACAGTGGAGAAACGGTGGACGTCTCTGTGTGGATTCCCGATATCAGCCACATCTGTGAGGAGCAACTTAAAAAGTAAAGACAATCTCAATACAGTTATTTCACTATATTCTATATTTCTAATCTATATATGTAGATTATTAATGTGTCCCGTTTTAATTTTTGAATTTGATGTTTTATTTTTGTTCTTTGTTCTCTCGTTCTCCATCAGCGGTCCAGGCAGGGTTCTGCTTTACTATCACTACTGTCGCGTCGAGGAGCCACATGTCATCTGTGCTTGGCAGAAAGCTCTGTGTGAGAAGCTCCACTTAACGGGCAAGGTGAATGAATTGTCCCATCCAGTCTTGGGTTGAGGAACACTTCTATGAAAGAGCAAAGAAAAAAGGCTTTTCTCTTAATTTCAGTGAAACCGTGCCATTAAAATAAGTGTTGATCTTTTTCTTCAGTTGAGGGTGGCGACTGAAGGCATCAACGGAACAGTTGGTGGCACAAACTTGGCCACTGACATTTACATAGAAGCAATGCGTTCACATCCGCTGTTCGAGATGGATGAGGAGGATTTTAAGGTCAGAATCAGATGAAGGGAAATTTTATATACTAGTGTCACCTCCCCCTCTTAATATTGCTTCATAGGATCGTAGGACTCTGTTATAGGCTCCATCAGGGTGTGGTTTGTCCATAATCAGACTTTAAGCAGGTATTAATTTATTTTTGTTAATCTTTGAATATTAATGGTGCTGTTTTTGTGGGTTTGTTCAGACCAGTGACGGTGGCGCAGAGTGTTTTACAGAGTTGAAGGTTGGGGTCTACAAGGAGATTGTCCCAATGGGAGTGGACCCAGATCTTATATCTTACCAGCTGGCAGGTACTATTTGTACTGACACTGTAAGCCTACAGAAATTATTAATAATGTAAGTGACACCTGTAGCTGATTTACTAATATCATTGCCTTTATTATCATAATAAGGTGCAAAATGTCTGCTTTGATTGCTGCTCTGCAGCCATAGCTGTGCTCTTGTACCAGCTGATGACAAACTCTATGCTGTGCTTGTATATAATGTCAGGTATGTGTCTGTTTTGCCTCTCAGGAGTTCATCTGGAGCCCGACGAGTTTCATAAAGAAGTGGAGGCTCTTCTGACTAAAGGAGATTTATGCAATGACACCGTCCTCCTGGACTGCCGCAACTATTATGAGAGTAAAATTGTGAGTAGTAAATTTGTTTTCTTTAGGAGATTGTTGACTTCATTCAACTGTAATCTGATCATTTTGGTGGTTTCAGGGTAATGTATGATCTTGGCATACTTGTGACATGCCCAGAGATTTATGTTGTAATTTAAGTTTTTTGTGCACCATCTACACAAGCTACCATGAGCAAATAGTAAGGATGGGCAGAACACTGATATTTGTAGCTGGAAATAATGAGTCTGTATCCAAACAGAAAAGCATGACTGGGATCAATTTCATAAGCCTCAGTATTTTAGCCAGAAGCAGCGGTATTGAGGTTGTGCTATTAGAGAGTAATGTGCAAAGGCTGTAACAGTTAATAATTGCTGTTTTTTTTGCCTTCAGGGGCAGTTCACTCAGTGCCTGGCGCCAAATATCCGTAAGTTCAGCTACTTCCCAGACTACGTGGACCAGAACCTTGAGCTGTTCAGAGACAAGAAGGTTCTGATGTACTGCACAGGAGGGATCCGCTGTGAGCGTGGCTCCGCCTACCTCCGCTCCAAAGTAAGCTGTTCAGTCATCAGTCTGGAAAGCTTTTAGTGGAGCTGGGTTCACTCGCTCACTTGTTGCAGGTTGCTGATTCTCCACAAGGGGGGGCCTTTTACTAGTAGTTTAGGTATTGAGAAATGCATATTTCTGAAATGTTTGCATCAAATATTTTAAGTTCTTGTTCATATTTATCTCTTAAATCTGGTACCAGGATGTGTGTAAGGAGGTTTACCAGCTGAAAGGTGGAATTCATAAGTACCTGGAGCGTTTCCCCGAGGGGTTCTATCGTGGAAAGCTTTTTGTGTTTGATGAACGCTACGCCATCTCCTCAAACAGTGACATCATCTCAGGTTAGTGTGTAAACAGAGCCCATTCTCTGCATGTTAGAAGTACCAGAAAGCATCCATAAGATCTAATATTCTCTTAATATACATGTATTTTTTTTAAATAAGATAACAGACTCTGTTTAGATTGCAGGTACTGCGGCCATCCGTGGGACCAGTACAAGCTCTGCTCCACCCAGTACTGCTGCCAGCTGGTTCTGTCCTGTCCAAGCTGCAGACAGGACGGCCACACCGCTTGCTGCCCCACGTGCCAGACCAAAGGTCAGGCTCAGTCCGAGGAGACCTCACATCACAAAGAGGAGTGCGAGTGCACTGACGTACGCCCCAGAATCCCTCAGGATGTGTAAAATGATTAGATTTCAGTGCTTAAAAATAACATAAACATAGTGTAAAATGTGTGTGACAGATTTTCAAAATAGGAATTTTTATACTAATGCATGTGGGAAATTAAGTCAGATACATTTTAACTAATGAAAATCTATTGAAGAAATTGAAGAAAATATCTGCTGAATCTGTTTTTATCATGTGAATATTGTGAACATTTTGTCACTAATGAAAGCTCAACTTCAACTTATTGTATGTATAAATGTTTCTGTTTCGTACTTTTAAACTGTGACATATATTTTGTCTCTTGTGTTTTCAAGCTGTTTAACAAACAGATGCATCATTATTTAGTGCTCCATGTATAGCCAAGATATGCATGCATTACTAGGATCCATGCACAGTATCTCAAGACTGGAACAGGATGTATCTACACTCTCAAGACTGTGCAAGGAGACATAGCATGTGTGGTTTCACTATCATTCCTTTCCAAAAATAAACTAAAACCATCAGCAGGATATGCAGAAACATCCACTACAGTATAAATTTCTCTCCAAAACCCCAAGCTGGAGATGATCTGAGACTATGCTTTTGTGCTGTGTAATACTAATATCTACCAGAAGGTGGTCAGGCATGTAAGAGCATGTTCTTATAATGCTATTCTGCAAAAGAAAGTCTGTTGAAGAAATGCTGAGAAACAAAGAGAAATTTCAAACAAGTTGACATCCAAAACATCTCAACACATCCCCTGGTGGTGAACGTGTTCAATTCTACAGTGGGAAATGAAAAAAAGTGTCTTTAATTAAGAGTCTAACTTTCAAGGTCAAAGTGTGAAGACATTTTTTAAAAGATATACAGGGGTAGTGTTGACAGACATTAAGGAAGAAGATAAGACAGTATAAAGAGATGAGAACAGTTTGGTTGCAGGTGTTGACGTGTTTCTCAAAGGGGAAGAGGAAGGACGGTCTGTGTATTCAACCTCACCTCTGGTGCCGGTGCCCATCTCTCAATTTTAAATGCATGTAGACATTGAGGGTTCTCGGGAGGGGCCGTGCTGACACCTGCTGCTCTCTGGCAGCAAGCACCATGCCCTCCCGTGTTTTAAATGCACTTTAGAACAACACGCAGCAACACTGTGCATGAGCGGGAGGTATGGGGTCTTCACACACCCCCGTTCTCTGTTAGCCATCGGGGCGGAGGGGCTGGAAGGAGGTGCTGGCTGTCCGTTTGGGGTCTGGGATGCGGAGCCTCCCTGCTGCTGCGGAGCCGGGGGCGGTCTGCTTGCCTCAACCCCCGGGGAAAGGGTAACATCTCCTGAGTCTAGGTGCGGTTTCCCTCTGGGGGCGAGGGTACCTGGACCTGGGGTATAGAGTATGTTTGGGGGTGGGTGGGTGGGTGATTGTGTGTGTACAGTGTCCATTTGTGTCTATCTTTACGTTGGGTAAGTGCTGAGTATTTGTATATGCGTGCATGAGGGTGGGAATGCACGTTTGTGTCTATATTGTCAGGTCAGGTCTTAGACTCCACCTCTCTGGGAACATTTCAGGCCCTCCAAAGTGTGGAGGCCTATCTCTCCTCACCATACTCGCTGCCGGTGGTTGATGCCCTCAGGCGTCGGTGCGTTGGTAGTTTTTTTTATGTAAATGTAAGGGGCTGGGCGCTCAGGTATGTATCGGCTCACCACTCCCAGTGGCTGCTTGGCGGGGCCTGGCGCCCGTGGCTCGGTCGGTGTACACACGGGTGTTCACTATTAGACACAAACCACACCTTTCTTGGCTGCTACCTCAAATCACATTGTGCGCTGTCGGTCCTGCGTGCTGCACAACAACATTCAGTATTTACTTTTATTTACACTTAGCTAGATTAATGCAATGGTGTTGTGTTTATTATGCGGCTCTCTCTCTCTCTTTTTTTTTTTTGCTTGTTCTCTCTCTTTTTTTTTCTCAACAGGTGATCCGGGAGATTTTCTTTCTGTTTAAGTGCCCTTTCTCACTGTCCCCCTTCCCCTTTATTTTTCTGTTCTTTCATCTTTTCCCCCTCCCTTTTCTATCCCCCAGCCATGTCTCTCTTGTCTGTAACAGCTGAAAAAATAAATTAATTAATTAATAATAACAACAAAGGTCGATCGAACGGACCAATACGGCAAAGCCGTGATGATCCACTTGGCAAAGTAAATCCGTTAGGTGTCTTTGTTGGTGTAGCAGCACGAGGTGAGAATAAAGTAAATACTCTTCACAGTTTAAAAGACAACGCCACCCTGGGAATTTCACCCAGATAATACTGGAAGTAACACTAATCACCAAGAAGGCAGTTAGGTTTGTTATACTCAGTATAGGGACGAGGTTTAATGATAAAACACACACTCACACTAATAAATTAAGAAAGGCAGGTGTGTACACTCAAAGGATCCCACCACCAAGGCACCCATAGTCTCCTCCACGTCGGCACTCCGCATCTGAATAAAAGAAATAAAGAAAATTTTAATATATTACAACAAAACTAATATTCACACGCTGGGGATAGCCCAACTGCAGGAACACACTGGTGATCCGCATCTAGAAAAAGGGCCTCCCACCAGTGGCGTAACAAAAACCCAAACTACAAATCAAACAACGGAAAAAAGAACAAACATACAGCCTAAATAAAACTTTAAAATATGGGGCAGACGGAATTGGTATTGCTCCAACTTGCCGTCTGCCCGACTATAAGTTAATCTTCTAATCAATATGCACGCCAGCCGACTCGCGTAGCATATGGCCGTTGTCCACGCCGAAGTCCACTTTAAAGGCTGGCAGCAGTAGGAAAAGAAACCTCGCAACAGGAACAGACAGTAAAAGCAAAGCAGCAGCACTTCACTTAGCGTAGCTTTGCGTAAAACTAAGGCCCACACTTCCTGCAAAGCATAATATGTATAAAAGAACAATAAAAGGCAGAGATCTTAACAAAATTGAATTACCGAGTAAACCGCGTCATGAAACATGAGCAGAGTGGCTCATAGGAGGCTTCTACAGCTACGACCTAAAAACAACATCTGTTTACCACCAAGTAAGGTAAATTACACACTACAATGAGTATACACCTACCAGCCGCAATGGAGGCTTCAGAAGGGTAACCCGCAAATGCTCTCTGCAACCTGTCATGAAATCAATATCCTTAGTATCCTTATTTTCCTATTATATTGTTTTATGTACTTTAATAATGAAGGCTTGTAGAGCAAGGCCACTTTTGACTCACAAAGTGCTCAGCCAGACTGAAAAACAGGGAGTTTTAGTGCACAGGCATATTAATAGATAAGACACAGAAAAGAGGAACTTTGCCATATAAGCAATGTTTGAGAAATAACACCATATAAGACATATATGGAGCTAAAAATGTTAGAGCTCTTGCAACTGGCGTTTGGGCTGTGCAGGGGTCTCTCTCTTCCGGAAGATGATTGAATAAAAAGAAATATACATGTTTTAACACACTATGAGTCGGTTTTCTCTGTTCTATCACGGGGACAAAAGAATCGGGGTTAATAAACCCCAAGGGAAGTCAGCCAGGTGACCAAAAAGGAGATCACAGGTAAGCGATCCAGGACTGCTCAAATGGCCACTATTTATACTAGCGCCCCCTAATGCGCCAGGCCGAAAGTGGGTTGAACTGAGGAATAACATTCATCCTGCCACAATGGCATCAGACAACAGTTATGATGGCTAAAGAACCAAGTGGGACAGGCGCAACCCCCCCAACAAAAACAAAAAACAAAGGGGAGGAGAAAGTACACTAGCAGAGAATAGGGAGATACTGCAGCAGCAAGACATTTTTTTACAGATATACAGGGGTAGTGTTGACAGACGTTAAGGAAGAGAAAAACACAGAATATAGAGATGAGACCAGTCTGGTTGCAGGTGTTAACATGTTTCAGGTATTTATTTGTAAATAACTGTTGAAGGTGTATGTGAGATTACTAACATGTGTGGAGGTATCCATCAAAAAGAGAAGGAACAGCAGTCGGAAAATAGCTGTTTATACAGAAATTAAAGCATGTGTACTTTATTTGCCAAGATACTTGTAGAACAAAAGTGCACATTATAGAAAACGAAACATGTAAAATGAAACTCCACCAGAGGGAGCGAGAGGACAACATCCTGGAGGCTGCTAAGCTCCTCAACATCCCGACTGGAGGCTTCAGCTTTCAGCCGAACGGACCTGGCCAGGCTGCCCGGGTCTCTTCTGAGCAGTAGCAGCCTCTGAATCGCTTCTCTCGGGGAAGGCTGGGTCCGAGAAAGTGACGCTCATGTATATTCGGTCAGCTGTGTGTTCGCGGGCATAAGGACGGGAAGACCCAGCGATGTCTGCGCCCGGTTTCACTAACCTGAACAGCTCCGTCAGCTACAGCCAGAACTCTGCGGCGAACGGCGGAGCAGCGCCACCCTATCAGAATGGTTCGTTAGCATGCTAACACCCCATTGGCGGGCTATTTGTCGGTCCTTCGCTTTGCTTTTTGCATTTTATACACTGGAACTGTCATTTACTGTCAGTCGCGATGCTGGCATTAGCTGTAAATTATGGGCATGAATTATTAAAAGACTGATGATTTTAGCTGAAGCTAAGCACTTGCTAAAGGTAGCTAACTTAAAAGCTAACGTGGGTATTGAAAACGGATGGTAACGGTAGCTAACTGTTAGCATGAAAATAGCTGTTTGACAGATTGCGCACCACCTCTCCATAGCCTCTTGTTTTTATTAAATCTCCAATAGCTAACGACTTAATAGAAGTTGCGTTAAAACAATTTACTTTCTATTAATAGAAGGCTGCTTATTTCAACTGAGAGCTAGCCTTTCAAGGAAGGCTGCTCAAGCGTGTTTACAGTAAATGATAACCTGTGATCAGATTTTCATATTTAACATATATTCGTGCACGTGTATTAAGCTTCACAAGAATAACCAAACACATGTGAACAAACTAATTTGTGGAGGGTAAAGTAGGAAAGACAATCGTCTCTAATAAATGGTTCAGTTTTCAGGACAGAGCTTCGCAAAAATATTTATCTCAAAAGAGAAGGAATACAACCAACTAATTTCCTTCTTAAGTAAACAAATAAGAGGGGATAAAATCTTAAAATCAGGCTGCAGTTTGGCTCAAAATAAAGCGTGTTTTGTACTTTGTGGTCCATTATTTCTAATTTGTCGTAGCTATGAAGTAGACATTAGCCAATATTCATTTTGCATATTGGAAAAGTGTGTGTGGAGGTATGTCGTAGGCTTTATACTGCATTTTTAAATAGAGATAATAGAGCTTAATTCTATTTTTGCATGT